AAACTTTAAAATAAAATATTAAAAAAACTCAACAAAAAATTACAGCTTTTTAATTAGCTTTCTTGGAAAGATTTCAGTATGCAGTTTTGTAGCCCATTAAATTTTTGTATGAAAAATTCCAAGACTGAAGTATCTGGCACTTACCACTGATTTTTGGTATTTTTCTGTTTGGTAACGGTGTTGCTTATTTTCTTCAATATAAAAAAGAAGAAAATGCGCAACACCGAATTCGGAAAACAAAATGAAAATATGTGCATACCTTGGTTGTGATTTTTTAGCACTACTTAGGTTAAGCTTGCGTTGACGTTTATGGCAAAAATATCGTTTAAAAAATTTGCAGAATACGAGAATGTAAAAAAACATACCAACTTATTTTGATTCATACATTATTGTGTGAGTAAAATATTAAATTTTTGATGGTTTCTTTTCGATTATTTTGAAAAATTAATCGGTTAATCGCTCGATTAATCGAAATGAAAATTTCGATACAACTAAATCGTTAACCGAATGACAATAACCGATTATAATCGGTTATTCGATTAATCGTGCCATCACTAGCTACAACTACAGAAAAATTCTGCGGTGTTGAGTTTTTATTTACATGGCGCTCTGATAAGACAGATCGTGTCAGCTGATTCGGGTTTACGTACCGGTAGGTTTACGTTCTTGACTAATTTCAGCTTAAGTGGGCAGGAGAGTTTGTCTCCTGTCGACCGAGACCGTTTGCAAAATGATGGGTTTGGGGTCTGTGCGCGGGGTATTCCCCCTTTTACAGGTAGGGATGCAAATGATGCATTGATGTTTTTGAAACATCGATAATATCGGTTCAATTTTCGATGTTTGCCCTCGATGTTTACAATTTACTAACATCGCGAAATTGACGATACATCGATGGAAGTTTTACCGATGTTTTAAACATCGACTTTAAGGAGACTCTCGGACTTTCTTTCGGTATGTTTGACTGACCTTAAATTTATTATTCATTCAGAATTTTTTTTGTTATTCATGGCCTTATAACAATTATATTCAACAATTTTATTGAGCTTGAGGCCGTTCCTTATGAAAAATGTTATTGAAAACCAACAATAATTTACAAAAGGTAGAAGTTATATCTGTTATTTCGGAGTTCACCACATCTCCTCAGAGACCGCGGTTGTGATTAGTAGATGTGGTGATCTCCCAAGTAGCAGCTATAACTTCATACCTGTGAATGTTGTGAATTATTGTTGCTTTTCCACAACATTTTTCATAAAAAACGGTCCCAAGCTCAATAAAATGGTTGGATTCACTCTGAATGCTAATAACCCAGCCGCTAAGACAGAACCAAACATCCCTTAGAATATCAACAAGATCAGGCCTAGGATCTTTAGGATACAGAACACAGGAAAATACATTCATAATTATTAAAGTATTCAATAGTACCCACGCCGCAGAGTACAGTGGTGATGTGGATGATGCACGGGTTGTTTTAACTGAGAAGGCGACTGAAAATTTTCGCAAACAACAAAAATGAGTAAAGGGCAGAATATATAACATAAATCAGCCGTGGTCGAGTGGCTTGTGTGACATCAAGGCACACACCGCCAATCGGAGGAGAAGCTCGGCCAATGATTTTAAACTTTGCACAGATTGCTTTGCAGAGCACAGTAGGCGTAATCTAAATGGTAGTACAAGTATTTTGTGTCCAATTTGCCGTCAAACTATTCGACAATCGACGAAATTATTTACTTAACTTTTTGCTATTTCAAGTTCCTTTTTTTGTTGAAACTTTGAATTATTTAATATTCAAACACATATACATACATGCAAACATATATATTAAATATATGCATTGAAATTTGTTAACTTCAATTTCTTTATATAATAAAGGACAACAAATATTTAGTTCAATGTTATCACATTAGTTAGATTTTATTTAGAACAGGGGGTTTTGGATGTACATATTTTAAAATGGAGACAAGAGCCACAATAAAGATGAAATAACGCCCGCGGGCTTCATTTCAGTTTTTAGGAAATGAATCCCGCGGGCGTTATTGCCATATCGAAAGGGAAATAATGCCCACCGGCAACAGGCAATAAAGCCCGCGGGCTTAATTTCTTTTTCGAAAAGGCAATAACGCCCGAGGGCTTTATTTCTGTTTTTTTTTGGGGGAAGTAAAGCCCTTGGGCGTTATTTCCGCGGGCCTAATTGCACTCCACCCATCCCAAGCATGCAGAGCGACGACAACACACACATACATACATAGTACATGCCTTGCAGGAAATGTATCTAACTATAATTTAACTTGAAGTTGATTAGGAAGGAACTAAAGGCCACTATTATTTCTATATTTCCTTTGAGGAAAGCTAACTATACTTGTATGGCGATGACCGCGAAATAGTCAAGAGTGGTTACCTCTGCATTTGATGTAACTAACTACTTTTGGACATAAAATATCAATAGTAAAAACAAAATATTTTTTTATTTTTTGTACTTCTTTTATTTATTTATTTACTTTATTTTATTACATTTCATATATGTTTACATATTCTGCTGTAGGTGGTCCCATAGTCGAACCCCGTCAAAGATAACTTCAAAATAATAATATAAAATTTCGATCTTTTTCGAATTTTCGATCCTTTTATTTGACCTCAATTCGAAAAAGTATTTGCAGGATATTTAAATAGAAACGCGTTTAAAGAAAACAATCTCGCGATTGCGACTGCATTACCCCTGCATTACTTGTCAACTAGTTTCAAGTTAGGTTTATGTAGCTAACTACAAGTTATATACTTTATAGAAATTTTGCAAAAAAACTAACTACAAGTAATTGATTTGAATATTTTCCAATATACAGTATTTTCGTTGATGTTTATAGGAATAACAATTACGTTTCTATTTGATTTTAATATTTTTTCCCTCAGTGTACCTACAAATGAAATCGACTCTTTTGTATCACATTGGGCCTTATGAATAAAAACTAAGCAATTGATTTTTCCTAAAATTTCAGACCTTTTACTTAAATTTATTTGAATAAATCAAGCAAAAGGTTTGAAATCTTAAGAAAAAGCAAACTTCTTAGGTTTTTGATTCATAAGGCCCATTCACTGAAATCTTCTTCCGAATTGTTCTCACTATTGCTTTCATTCAACGATATTTCTTCCAACCATTTTAGAACTTGTTCTTCATACCCCTCTCGAAAAGTAAAAAAAAGGTTAAAGACAGAAAATAGCCAACAAACATGTTAAAAACTGAAATAAGTACAGCAACCAAATTACCTTTACTACTAACGTTCGCCTGTCAGGCGTCAAGAAGAGTGTGTGGAACTAATGGTCTGATTATGCATACTTCATATGCTTCATATGCATACTTCATATACTGAGTATGCATAATCAGAGCTTAAGCCGTGCAAGGCCACTGTACAATGTGCGCCTGCTAACAACCTCGTACGGCGCTAGATTGAGTTGGCAGGATCGCTTACTTTGATCATTAAAATCGTTCCTGAAATATCGCGAGAAAGCCGAATTCGTTCCGCCTCACAGGCGAACGTTAGTATTCTAGGGTTCAATACTGTTTGACTTAATAGAAATAAATTCTTTTAAATCTTTCAAAACGAGTTATTAAAATATACTGTTCATTTGGCTAATTTTCTTAACGATACTATCACGATAGTATCGATAGTTTTCCATACCAAATGAAAGAGCGAATTCTGCAAAATTGAAAAACAATACAGTTTTTGGTTTACAAGGACGAATAAGTATTGAAAATGCGCTTTTCAATTAATTTTATTTTTTTAAGTTAATAAAGTTAGGAGGACGTAATTCGAGGATGTAGTCGTGTGTATATCAGTCATTTATATGTATTAAAAAAAAAATATTGCAAATTTTCAAGGATATTCAAGGATAAAATTTCAAAAGGAAATTTTCCAAAACCATTCGTCCTTATTCACCAAAAAGTTTTATATGTTTGAATTCTACAGGATTTTTTCTTTTATTTGTTAATCATCTTTTTGAAATTTGAAAGTCCTTTAAAAAAATCCTGACGTCAGAGTGAAACATTTAAAACGCATTTTACTACAATTGCCCATATTTTCGCGAATATATTAATTTTAATATGTGTAAAATTTACTGTCGCACGGTGTAATACTTATATCATAACTACTTATAAACTCAAGGAAGAATTCACCCCTTTTGTCGTGCTTCCCCAAACAGTGCTATGAGCATTTGCATCACAGCATAGGATCCATTGTGTACCACTCTGCCGGAAGTGATCTATTAGTGCCTTTGCTTCAGGTGTCGGGGCTATCTCCTCCTCACCCGGGAAGTACGCGGAGGCAAGTACTGCCTCTTCAACCTACCCTAGGAGTCGGAACTTTGCCCGATCTTGGGCGACAGCTGAAGGCAGCCACCTTCTTCCCACTGTTTCCTTCCAGCAAGACCGCTTCCTCGGTCTCCCTTGCCCTTACGGCTGGAAGTAGCCGCTTTGGAGCTGCCACGTAGTGGTGGCCGTTTTGCAGGCTTTGGAGATGCGATGGGTCCGACGTTCATTTGGGCTTTTCCAGCACCTATTGTAGGGGCGGGTATGTTGTTGTTGCTGCTCTCGGAGGCATCGTTGGAGTTTTGTGAGCTTCATGTAGCTCTGTGTCGACCTCCGATGAATTGTGTGCTGCACTTGCAGGTCAGCAAGCAGGCCTAAATTCCATTCGTCGAGAAAGAGTTCATCTGACCATATTCTGCAGAAGAGTTTGATTTGCTGACTACAAAATAGTATAAGCATTTGCTTTTGCTTACAACGCAGTTTGTTTTTGCTTAGAAAGTCAGCCGAAACAACCAGTTTAGAAAAATTGCAGTTACTGGAAGCAGCTCCCTAAAGCAGGGATCACACGATTTGTACAATGAACTCATTTAGATACAGATTTCTAGGCATATTTGTAACTAATTGACATTCACATTTTACCTAACTAATTCCTCACCAATTATTTTTATTCTTTTTTTTATTAAAGTCGCAATTATATATGTATGTAAGTACATATATAACTGAAGATTAAACCTAACAAAAAAAGTCATGGATGCACACGCGAAAGAAATAAGCAAAAATGCATTTATCTTAAGCCACACATCCTTCGCATACCATACCGCACTCGCAACGAAGACCTCAAACATGTCGCAGCCTGTTTTGAATGAACAAGTTGTTAACAATCCGGACTTTGCTATGGTACTCACCACAGGGACAGACACATCCGCAAAGTCGGAGCATATGACAAATTCATCCGCGGAGCAGTGGGCGCATTTCTATGACTTGATGATATCTTGGCAAAGTATTTTTCTGATAACGATATTCTGTGTGCTCATCGTGATCACTGTGTTGGGAAACACATTAGTTATTGTAGCCATAATAACCACGCGACGTCTGCGAACTGTTACAAACTGTTTTGTTATGAGTCTAGCAGTGGCTGACTTCTTGGTGGGAGTATTCGTGATGCCGCCAGCGGTAGCAGTGCATTTAGTGGGTAAGTGAGAGTTGTTTATACATGTAGTATATGTACATATATCGCATACTTAGATCTAAAGAGAGACAATTCAAAACTCTAATTTTTTGACTTATACATACCATGGTGGAATAAGATAAGTTGATATCAGTACGAACTCCCCAAATATTGCAAATTAGTAAAAAGAGGGACGAAATAAATCTAGGTTATAGGCATGATTAGGGATAAATCGATACCATCAAGGTATTACTCAAATCAGTACTTGTACTTTTATCAAACAAGGTATCGATACCTACTCAGTATCGGAAAGGTATCGAGTACTTGTACTTAGAACTACGATTTTGCAAATTTTTCAAAGTTATTGAATTTTTTTCACAAAAAATATGCATTTTTACAAGATTATTTATCTTCTAATATTTTTTCATACCAAAACAATAGCATACATTTTTACCAGATTAATAGATAAAGTTTTTTCATATAAAATAAATTTGAGAAAATAATTCTTTTTTTGTTATATTTCTCCCAAAAAAATCAACTTTTCCAAATGATTTCCTGAAAGGAGAGATTTTGATATACGGGCATGTTCTGAAGTTCGAAACTTTTAACTCGACTCGATTTGCCAAATGCTTTTTAATTATATCTGATGAAAAGAGTGAATATTCTAATTAAAAACCGTAAAAGAAGCAGCAGCGATATGGAATAAGTCATTTTAATGCGCGACTTGTAAATTTTTGGGTTAAAAACATCGGGAAAATTATTGATATCGAGTCGATTTCAAATTTTAGAATTTTAGAATATGCCTGATAGTTGTACCTGTTTTTTAGATAAGCCTCTAGCAAGGGACAGATGACTCAACAACCGTTATGTATAGACGGGCTTGCTTATATAGCTGCGGAAATGTAGTGCGCATATCTTCCCATTCCTCTGATAGGTAGCTTTTCAAAAAAGATGCTGAAGCATAATAAGTTTTGCGCTTCCGATACAGGTACTTTTTTTTGATACCTACTTGGATCGCGGTAAAAAGTATCGAGTAAAAAACTACTTGGTAAATTGTATCGATATATCACTAGGCATGATTCAAAAATAAAAGGTTAGATAATTATTGACAGCGGCGGTTTGACACTCCCTTACAAGCGGTTGCATTTACGAAAGACGGAGAAAGGGGAAGAAGGAAATCCCTTGGTACGAAAATGGTAGTAGAAAAATACGCAAAGTATGCAATTAGTATTTGGTGAAATTACTTTTGTAAATTGTAATGTATTTGCAAGAAATTTGGCATTTTAAAAGAAATATTGAACGAGATTTTAAGATATGTATCTACGTGAATTATGTAATTTGTTTGCTATATAGCGGTATAAAAACTAAAAAGGGCTCAAAATTAAAATATAATTACTATGAGTTTTATGTAAACTCGAAACCATTCTTGTAACCGGTGAATTTTGTTAACATCTCATGAGCAGGTAACAACATATTTCCCGGCTAAAAAAGACTAAAATGTTTCGACTAAAATTCACATATTTTATTCAAAGAAATCGCTAGTAAGTAAGAACTCGTTATGCGTAGATCAGAAGTCATGTTTGTGGTTCTTAAATATAAAAAAGAGATCAATTACAAACTTATGGCATTTTCTTTTTTGTTGAACAATTTTGCCTTAGAGTGTAACATTTGCACTAGGTAACTTTTCGTCCTGAAAAATGACTACATATATTAGTATTAAGTATTTTGTTTAGTCAGAGGGCGATATTTTGAGAAATGAACTCGTGAAGCTGTGAAAGGGCTGCAGAAAACAGGCCAACATTATTTCGAGAAAATAAAATGCCATTAATTTATATCGAACAAGCCGGTCGCTCTTCAAGTTTTTAACAACTCAACTAAATATTTAATTGTATTTTGATGTCCATATATTCGAAACTCCTGCCTTTAATGTCCTACTCACTCTCTCACATGCCTGTATGGGAGCAATAATAAGCAACAATAAAGTATGTTGGCACCATGATACAATTATTCACAGGTATTGTCTTCCCATAGAGTTTTGCTAAACATCGATATTCGTGCTCTTTTATTCTCATTCGTTATTTTCTAAGTGTGGCGAATAAAACTTCGCACTTAAATTTAAGCCATTCATAACAAAAATTGTATAAAGAAAGTCCCCACTACGTCCTTTTTTGAACTTTTTTTAGTTTATTTAATGTTTATTATTTTTTATGAAAATGTAGCTGATTACTTAACAAACACCATATAAGTCTCATTTTCTCAGACTGTGCAAAAATTATGCATATTCTGCAAAATTTCAAGTGTACGAAATTTTTCCATACAAAGTATATTCTAAAATTTTTTTATACGGAAAACAATGCGGAACACGTCAACAAAAAATTGCAAAAAAAATCTACGATAATTGCCAGCCACCTCAAATTTGCACTTTACTATCCTAAAATTTTAAACTAAAAATGCAGATTTTTTTTTAATTTTTGCATAAAATATGAAATTTGGATTTAAATGGCGTTTGTAAGTAATCAGCTATAATTTCATAAAAAAATAATAAGCTAAAATATCGCGTCCTAGTTCGTGTTTGGGTCACTGTATATTCACATAAAAAAAATTGAAATCGGCCCAGTATTTTAAGACTTTTTGGATTATAGAAAATTCTTTCAATTCCATATACTTAACACAGCCCGACATGAAAATTTTCTCCGAGATAAGACTAGCAATTTCTATTACATTTTGAGTCGCTAAATTTGTAAAAATGGAAACTTATATGTTTATATATTTGAATTTTAATGAAATACGGCAAATAGCGAAATCGGCTAAAAACAGCTAACTTTTTTTGCAAAACGGCTAACCAATCGGCTGCCGGCTAAATCGAGATTTCTCGGAACACGGCTAAACTGGCAACAATGACCTCTGCTGACGGAGCGGTGCGAGAGAGACCACTGTCAGTTTATCGAACCTTTAATTATTGAATCATAAAGCAACAATTTAGCCAAAAAGAGCGCTGCATCTACTATAAAAATCGCTAATAAGCTAGAAATGGATCTTATAAACCTCTCTTTTAACTTGTCCTGTCACATATAAAGAATGTATATCAAGGCTTGGTCCAAAAACCTAAATCGAAAATAATAATTTCTACATACAGGCCTATTCTGCTTGTTACCGAACATTTTGACACCGGAAAATTTTGTTATCAAAAAATAACACCACTTCTTTTAATCGCAATTTAATCTATTCAGAAATTCAGCTATGAAGTTTTGTATAAATTCCGGTGTTGCATACTTCACGGGACAATACTTTGTTACCTGCTTATGAGTAACAAAATCTACCAGTGCGCAGAATGCGAAAACAGTTTAAAAATTACCAGGAACTTTATTTACTGGTAACAAAATTTTTGTGACCAAAGCAGAATAGGGCCTGTTAATAATAATTTTGAGCTAGGCAAATTATATTGTTTTTTTCCCGTAATTAATTTTTGTTGTTGGTTGCAGAACCAAAGAATTTAGTTTATACATATATAGATCTGTACATTATGCCGTGGTATAGAAATTACAATATCAAAATTGTAGTTTACCATTATATATCGTCTTGAGCCTATCTTGAATAAAACAATTAGTAAAACATACAATACTTCTTTTATTCTCTAAAATTAAAAAAGATAACATGAATTTTCAAAAAGTGTACATAAATTTTATGGTTTATTTTACGAATTTGTTGCTTGACCGGTGCATATGTATTTACTTAATTAAGGATTAGCCAAGACACAGTAAAACTTAAAATTTACGAATATGAAGGCATGTTTCAATACCTGAGCAGCCATGTTCCAAGGTATCATAGACAATATGATGATATGAGGGTATAAGTACTCATTTCTTAAAGATGCTCAAATTTGGTTACTTCTATAGTCAGTGGCTTTTGATAAAGCGGAGGGCGTTCACTTGAGCGTACGGAAGTAGTTGTCATTGGTCTTCTAGGTAAATATTCACATGACTGATCAGTCAGTTTTGAATTTAAATTTACTCTCGCTGGGTTTATAATGTAACGCTACAATGTTCGTAACATACGGATCACCTTTTTTGTTTCCCGGCCTCAAGCTTTCATATTTGCCCTGAGAAAAGCGATAGAAGTATTTATAGGTTAAATAAAATACTCTATAGGGCTCAGGATCTTGCTTTGCTGCTTTAATTATACTACTAATAACAAAAATATCTCGTTATCGGCCATGCAACTTCTTTTCTATTACACCATGAATGGAATCGACTTCCATTTGCGAATGACCGAGTTCGAGATATTTTTGTTCAATAACAACATTATTCTCTCTCGCCAAATCGAGCAAAGCATTAGCCAGTGTCAAGCAGAGGGTTTGATAACCACAACTAGGGTTGCCAGATTTTGTATGCAGGAAATCAGTACGTTAGACTTTTTCATGCTAAAAAATCAGTACTTTTTAGTACATTTTTATTCAAAGCAAAATTATGAATGTAAGTAACAGACAATACTTTAAAACAGCAGAGTACTTGTTTTTAACAATATTTTGGGGTATAAATAAAACCTAGTTCATAAAAAATAAAAGTGTCATTCATTTTAACATGAGTTTACATATCATTGTACACAGAAGCCAATAAATTATTTTATATTTGTGACATTGTTGAATAGCAATAAGGAGATCATTTCCATCTTGAGCTTTTAAATAGTAAAAGAATTCTATATATTTCATTTTAACATTACTTTTAATTTGAAGTTTACTTTAAAAAAATTTAATTAGAATCCGGTTTTTCTCTTTGCGCCAGGAAGCAAACTTTATACTCTCAGATGATTCGTTTGAGTGTGGAATTACAACAAAAAAATACATATTTCAAACTGTGGAAAAGTACCACTATTTAAAGACTTCTTCTATATTTCCTCATGGCTTAAGTTAATTTTTTCAACTAGACAAAAACTTTGAAAGACTAATAATTCGCTGAAAAGAGTGTCTAAACTCTATGTCTTGCATGCAAAACTATGTCGTAGGCAAAAGCCATTCGAATATCCAA